TTGAAATAAAATATGAAATATAATAAAATTTTTTCAAATTTGGGTGGTGCTTATTTTTGTTTTTCAAGTTTTTGTGCCGAAAGTTGGGGTGGTGCTTAAAATCGGAAGGATACGGTAATCTTTTCAATTCTATTAATTGATCTCTTTTATTTAAAACAATGCGTTCTATTTGTTTGATACATTGTGTTCTATTTTATTTGATACAATGAGGATTTATTTTAATTTATTTAATTTAATTCTCTTTATTTGATTTGATTCCTTTACTTAATTTAATTCCCTTTATTTTATTTTATTTCATTTAATTTAATTTATTGTATACATTCAAAGATTAATTAATGGTTTTGGGCAATGGAAATTTCTTTATAATACAAATTGGAAAGAATTTTTTCACATTTTATATTTTTGACGCGTTTCAAGCATTGTAAACTTCTAATTTCAAAATTTCAGAGTAAACAATAAATAATTTCTAATTTTTTTATTAAAAAAAAAAAAAAAATACACAATAATTTTAAAGAAAACTGAAGAAAAAGAAAAACGAATAAAAATTTTTTTATTCGAAAAATTGGTTCAAAAAGACAGTCAGGTCAATTGACGATCTTAGTTGGTTGCGCCACATACTCTAAGCAATATATTCGGCATAACCTGTCGTGCTGTTAAGTCTACATATTTATAAATAAGGGACTTATGCAATAGAAAAGGGGGAATGATAAATCTAAAAATATTCAGCCTGCAGTTTCTCCTTTTTCTATTGCAAATTTTGCTGGCTGTCATTACATATATATTAATTTTTATATATATGGGCAAAAAAAATTTCAAACGAACCGTCTAAGACAGCTAGAACGAAAGCAACGACGGCGGCAACGATTGCAACAGCAACAACAAATACTACAACAAATACTACAACTGCTGCCGTTACAGTTGAAACAAGTAACAAGAGCTGCAACAACAACTGCCAAATATAAAATAATTTCTGGCAAATTTATCGATATAACGACCGGCGTGGAATAATGGATCCAAATTTTAGTGACCAGCGTCGAAGATTCGATCCAACTTTCAGAAAACCAATACTGGCAACCAACATCAGCCGCAACCACTACAGGAGTTGCAAGAGCAACTCCTAGAGGTTCATGAAGAACCTCCGAGTTACGAGAGAGTTGTCGAGGATGATACTCGCGCGGCAGCAGTCGTCGAATATATCCTCGAGGAGGAAAGTGCGCGGAAGGCTGCGTAAGATGAGTTGGTAACGAGGGAGGATCGCTACACGGCTTTTCTTTGGGAGACATTAGAAAGGTTTAGATCAGAATGTAGCTACCTTTAATTTGATTATCAGCATGTTTCCAAAATTTATTACTATCATTATAACTTTTATAATTCTTTTTTTTCGTTTTATGAAATAGGGAAGAAGATGAAGAAGAGGGAGGTAGAGAAGAGGAGAAGATGAGGACGTTAATTAAAGTATATATATTAAACTTATAATTAAAACAGTTCATCGATTCATAAATTATTAAAGCCAGCTGATAATTTTATGAGTTTAATAAAATAAATCTTCTACTTCTATTACTTCTATGAACAAATTTAAAATACCGCTTTAAACCTATATTCCTAATATGTAACATATTTCATGTTTAGTGATCAATTTTCAAAATTCCTTACCATTTTATTTAACATTTAATATGAAATAAAAAAAAAAGCAAAAGTTTAGAAATAATCAAAAGACCAATTTTATTATAAAATTCCAAGTCTAAATGACCAAAACAAACAATAAATGAGCTTGTAATTACCATCGCTACCTTAAGGTAAACAAAAGTTATTTATATAATAATTCACTAATAAATTCTATGTTAACTATAATACATTATGAAATAATTAAACGAATATAACTAACAATAGGTTAATTGCTGTCGACATAATTTTCGCTGAAGAATATTGCGAACCAATTCATCCAGAGCTTTCTTCTTTTTTCGTGATTATACCGTCTCAAGTATCTCAAAACCTCTCGTAACTCGAGAATTTCTGCTTCCATGAACAACATTTCAATATTATCATCCTGAGGTCCTTTTAAAAGTGCAAAATATGATATGATAATAGCAATATAATTTTTGCAAATAAACATTAGTTACCTTTGAATACCTTTCAAAAAAACTCATCAAGTTGAGTTATGTAATTTCAACTGATAATCTTTCACGGAAAAGTGTGAATATAAAAAAGGTGACTATATAGGGGTCGAAAGCAAAATTATCAAATTTCATATACAAGAATTAATAAATTTTTAATCAGGGTTTCAAACAATTTTCTTTTAATTACCATTAATTTTATATGACTCAATAATGATTTAATAAAATTGTTCAAAAGAACAATGACAAAACTATGGGTTTCTGATTAACAAAGCATTATTAAGGTAATGATGTTATTTATGTTATTCCCTAAATCCTTCGAAAACTTTACTAAAGACATTGCTTCAAATACTTTTTTTTTTTTAGTAAAGTTTCGAAGGATTCAATCAATCTTACAATCTAATTATGCGTTCTAAAAAAATTTAATTATATCCTTGATGATTTGTTTTTAAAAATATTACTAATAAAACAATAGTTAACTGTATATTTAATATAAATTACATTTATATCCGTAAAGTTTAGCTCTAATTTATTTTATCAATAATAAAATATTAGAGGAGAGGAAATTAGTGTTTGCTTTTTTTTTATAATAAAAATATGTAATGATGATCTTGTTACCGTTACGAATTTTAAAGTTTAACTCAATCAGGTGAGCAAAGCAATATCATGTGATTTATTTGAAACTCAGTTGAGACTTATATTAAATTAAAATTAAAAATTATGTCGGTGCTGCGGTATAAAGCACTGACAATTTAACTCTCGAATACTTGGGTTCGAGTAAAACTAATACCAAAAAAAAATAATAATAAAAAAAAAAAAAAAAAAAAATTTTTTTTTTTAAATTAAATTTTAAAGTATTAAATAGAAAAGTGTTTTTTTCAAGAATGTCCAGACTCTACTAATACGTCTTTTTTTTTTATACGCGCATCATTTGACATACTTTATTTTGCTAAAACTTTTCCACTACCATTCTCTTATTTTTTTTTTTTTTTTTTTTTTTTTTTTTAAAAAAAAAATAATAATTTTTTTTTAGTCGGTTGGTCCCAAATACAAAATAAAAGTAAGCTTTATTAAGTATTGGTGACATAAAAAGGTTGAGAACGAGTTGTTGTTTACATTCCAGATATCAAACCATTTCTAAAGAAAACTTTTACAAATAGGGTGAGTTTTATTTAGTTTTGTACTTGCTTTTGGCGAAGCTTCGACGAAAGGTTATTCCCGTGTTCTTACGAGGTTATGTTTACGTTCTAAAAATTCCAGATTACAACCTTGACCTAAAGATTTTTGCAATGGACTGTGGTGGTAGCGGGTAACGTGTGATAGGGTATGACACTGGAGAAAAGCTAACACATCCAAGGAAGTCATAGTGGTATTATCATGTAAGTATACTTACTTAGTTATCGTCGTCTTGTCATTTTAGCAGCAGGGTGGTCCGAATATTGTTAAGAGAAAGGATACCATCCAGGCCGTCAAAGCACGATAGGACTACATCGTGTCCCACAAATGAAATTACTTTCATTTAAAATCACGAGGGGGGTCTCGTTGGTGATGTGGTAGCATAGCTGTGTTTGAAGGGTGACCCTCCTATTCCCAGTTTCTTTTATATAAGACATTCTAACAGTGTTCGTCCCTTTCCCAGATAATGTAGGAGTCGATGAAATTAACGAGGTATGTATGATGATTACCGGACTGAGAGCATACCATCTACCATCCGACGTAATACTCGAAGTCAGATGAATCCTTAAAAGATAGAGTTGAGCTTGCAGTCTAGGCGCGGTCATTCGGTGAAGTTTCATATAGGCTTATTGGCCATAGGATGTGCGGTCATTGGTGAAATTACAGTACATATGGGCTTCTTGGCTTAAAGTAGTAAACTACTAGAACGTAAGTTAATCAAATAATATTTGCTTTCTTTTAATAAAAACTAAATTCAGTTGAATTTACTTTAACAAAACATTCTAATAAAGCTACCGTAGAAGAATTTGTTGACGGTTCGAGGTCGAGTTGTATGTGGTATTAATTTTGGGGCGGGTTTCTTTGGATGAGAAGTCTGGATGGACAATTTAGGAGATAGACAATAGATGTAAAGCAACAAAATTTGAATTTCTTTATGTTCCTAGAATTTATTATTTTGATTTTGACTCTTATTAATATATATATATATAATTTATTTTTTTATTTATTTCAATAAAATAAATTTTTGTTTTGTAAGCTGAAAATTAATAAAATTAGTACAGTTAAGATAACTTGAACGCAGTATATTAATAAATTAATTTCGCTATAATTTTTTACAGAATCAACTTTACGTTCCCAAGATGTTTATGAGCTTTGGCAAGTAATTAAATCAATTAGATGGAATTGATTTGGTTATCACAAATTCTTTCCCCTCCCATTGCAATATACTGTAATCCTTTTTATTGTAAGGAAAAAGTTTTTGACGGCACTAAATCAGGATTAATTAAAATTAATTTATTTACTGCGCGACGATTTTTTAAAAAAAAAATTCACGTGCCGAAATTCATGTATCAAAAAGTTTTTTCCGATGACACGTAATGATTTGTTCTAAAATCTTCCGAAATTTTCCAAGTAATAGATGACAAATATTCTGTTGATATATGTTAAATTAATATCTAATATATCGATTGTTTGACTCGAAGCTGGGTTTTCTTACTGCTTACGGTAATTGTCACGATCATTTGGAAGATGTAAGTTTGTTTAAATTTTCGCACGCGATCAACACATATCAACAGAGCTCCACCTGAGAATATTCTCTCTTTACTTTTTCGCTTATAAGAAACTAACCAAAAAACAGTTCTGCCAAATACTATTTCGCTAATTTTTGCTTCAAAGGAACGTAAAGTTAGGTTTAAAAATCTTTATTGTTTATTTTTTCTTTTAAGAATAACTTTTACATAATTAATTTATTAAAAAAAAACCTTGACTACAGAAACGAAAGACTTTTCCAATAACGCTACGCTTATTACGAACAAAACGGAAGAATTTCTTCGATAACGCTTAATGCTACGACAACGAAACGAAGGACTTTCAGCTGATCTTCCTTAGGGAGTAGTTAACCGCTGGGTATTACTCACACCCAACCCTTTATTTTATTTTATTAAACATAGAAACGGACGATTCCGATCACGTTAACGCTACGACAATGAAACGAAGGACTTTTCGCGTCAAGATTCAAAATTTAAGGTAAATGCCAGAAAAGTCCATTTTCTGATACGGGTAGAACTGATAATGGGAAAGTGTTATGTGGGTAATATCCTAAAAAATTCAGAGACGATTCTGAATATTTTCCGATCACGCTTATGCTAACGCTACTTACAAACGAAACGACGATAACGTTACGTTACTTTAAAATTAATTAGATAGCTTTTTACAAAAACGTGTTACCGAAAAAAAAAACCAAAGTTTTTTTAAAATTTATTTTTATTGTAAAAAAATTTTTGATCAGTTTACGTTTAATATAAATTTTTTTAATTCATTAATTTATTAAAGTTAATTGAAAATTTTAAAATTGATGCAATAATGATTAAATAAAATACATTACAAGTTTCGATACATATTATTACAAACTAAGTTCAATAAATTTTGAATGGACATGTCAATATTTGTTATAAATTACACTTTATAAGAAACTCGACTTGCGTAACTATTGATTTATATTAATACAATCGTGAATCAAAGTAGTAAAATTTATCATTTCAAGATTTTAAGCAACCTTATAATTAATTTATTTTGATAGACAATTTCTGTCCTATTTATATTCATCCTTTTATCGGACCATACATTCTAGTTATGGTAGCAGGTGCACTTATTTTTCATTAAGAATTTGAATTGATTAAAGTGTCCTTATATATTATCTACCATCAAGGATACCTTACAATCGTGGCTATTTTGACGAAAATTTCAAATTAAAATACATAACTCTCCATTATTTTATTTTTTTAAACCTTTAAAAAAAACTTTTTTCAAAATTTCTTACAAATAAAATAAAAATTATTATTATAAAGCAAAATGCATACGAAACAAAGTTTCAATCTTTAATACGTTAATGTCCCAGCGTAGTTTGCTCCATCGCATATTTTCCATTACCGTATCCTTCCGATTTTAAGCACCACCCCAACTTTCAGCACAAAAACTTGAAAAACAAAAATAAG